TAGAAAATATCAACCAAATTATGTGAAAAAAAAAGCACAATACACATAATATAATTATAGTATTTAATAAATTAAGATTAACATAGTAAATAAAATATGGTGTCATCATGTGGACTTAAATGAATGAATCTTGAGTTTTGGGACTTAAATGATCATTGTACAAAATCTGGAGGACCAAATGTGCTATTTTACCATTGAAGAAATTGCAAAAGAGCCAAAGAGGACAGAAACCCAACACGAGTGTGATGTCGACACATAATTTTGGTGTTCACACCATACGGTAAGTATCCAGAATTAGAGTTTCTGTTTCCTGTTCTATGTCCATAGAATGCAGGGTGAAATTTTTTAACAACTTGGAGGTGCTTTGGTATTAATATATTAGGAAGGGTTGTTCGGCTTTTGTAAATTTATACTTTTCAAGTTGGGATGTTTATGGGTTTGGGTACCTCTTGTACTCCACTTTTTAATAAATGTTACTTTTTTGTTGTTAAAAAAAGTATAGTAAATAAAATAAACATAATGATAGTGAAATAAATCAACAAATAGCATAATAATTGAAATAATAAATAAAGAATAAAACTCATAAATGAATATAAAGCATTAAAAAAAAGAAGAATTCATATTTGGACCACTATTGGTCTGAATAATTTTTCCGGACCGGTAGTGGTGTCACGCCCCAGAACCCAAATCCAAGAACGTGGCAAACGCCGTACACTTGTGAGACGGGTCCCACAAGTGCACAAGGCTCGAAACTTATCCAATTCACATCTGATACCACAAAAATCTCAAGATAAAATCCTTACAATCTGCTCTGATATCAAAAATCTCCACATACACTCTAACTCTTAAGATCACGATCTACATCTCAAATCTATATTCACTTTACAAGATGGCTAGCCTTCTATCTCGTCACTCCCCTCGGTTTCCCCGTCCTCAGTTTCCCCGTCCTCAGTTTTGCTTCTTGAAATGGTGGACAAGGAAAACTATGAGATAACTCAGTAAGTAAATATGGATAGCCCTTGGGTAAAACTTTGAAGCATGCCAGATAAACCATTAATGCGGAAATCAGAACTTTCAATGATAAACCATTAAAACAGAATCAAATTCAGTTCAATATCAAAGCCTTCATGGCAAACCGTTCATGCAGAATAAAACTCAGTTCAGTAGTCTCATCTATAAGTCATGGCCAGCGTTTATAAACCTCCCACTGGCGGGCA